GCAGAGGTGGGTTTGAAAAGGAGACTCCAGCACCTGCCTTCAAGGGACACACCGCCTACCTGGGAGACAGAGAAGGAAATGGCAGGGACGATCCAGTTTAGGAGAGGGTCGGCATGGGGAGAGAAGGAAGCTGAGGGAAAGGGCTCTGGACCCAGCTTCCCCAAGTGACATGGAAACTAACATGTGTCTCTGGCCATGGGGACAGGGGCCATGAAAGCCCGGGCTGGTTCAGAAAATGGCATATCAAGGACTGCCACAGTCTAATACCTGCATTCTCCCAGCTGGTGCAGAGAGTCCCCTGAAGTCCAAGTACTTTATATGGGAATAGGTGTTCATGGACCTGCCTCTCTCACCTCACCTGTGAATTTCTCCAGCGAGGAGATGAAGGGCCCTCCATTCAACTCGGTCTCATGCTGGGCCACACTTACCCTCCCTCCCTCTCCTCTTGCCATACCAGTCTTCTCTGGGTTCTTAAAGCATGACAAGCTCTTTTCCATCCCAGGGCCTTTGCACACGCCATTGTCACCATCTGGAATGACCTTTTCCTTATGCTTTTCTTTTGGGTCTCAGCTTGATGGTCACTCCTCGGGGAGACCTTTCCTGGACACCCTAATTCCAAGGTCCCTCCCTAACACTGCTTTCTTTGTCACCTCTTATTGGTTTCTTTTTACTTACTTTCTAATTATTTAGTTTTCTCCTTGTCTCCCCTGCTAGAACGTAGACTCCATACAGGCAGGGAATCATCTGCTCACTTCTGTATCTGTAATGCCTGGCATTTGGTGGGTGTTCAGTAAAGTTGAGTGCCTAAATGAATACACTCAAGAAACATTCATGAAGCAGATAACACTACCCAGCTCAGAGGATACGATGATGGAAGCACAGATTGGAACTTTGCAGTTTAGTGAGGGAGACACATCCGACAAGGACTTACAGTAAATGTGATGGTGATGGTGGTGACGACAGGGGAGGTACTGAGCACTGTGCGAGCGCCTGGCAAGGGCACCCACTTTGTACAAAATTAGAGAAGGCTTCCAGGAAGAAGCAACATTTAAGTTGAGCCTGGAAGGATACTTAGGAGTTCACCAGGTGAAGGGGAGCTGGAAGATGTTCCAGGCTGAGGGAAGACCCAGATGCAAGAGGGGCATGGCTCTTTGGGAAGACTGAACACGGTTCTTGATGGGCAAAACTTAGAGCTGCAGCAAGAAATAAGACAGGAGAAGCGAGACAAGGCTGGATCATGGAGGGGTTTCAAGCTATGATAAGGAGTTTGAACTTGATCTTAGGGTCAGTGAGGACATCTTAGTCAGAGGGAATGGCATAATCTCATTGGTGTTTTATTGAAATGGCCCTGGAGCAGTGTGGATAAGAGGAAGAGGATTGGAGTCAGGGAGATCAGAAAACTAGTGCAGGACATGAGGATGTCTTAGATGGAGCAGTGGTGATGAGGGAGTGAACTGGATGAATTTAGGACAGATGGCCAGAGTTGGGGCAGGGGAGAGAATAAAGGATGATGAGTAGGTTTCTAGCATGACCAACATGGTGAATGGGGCGCCATCTTGGGGCCATGTCTGGCAGAGAACCAGACACCTAGTACACACATCATAAGTGTGTGCTTGATAACGTGGAAATGGACTCAGCGCAACGTCTTCATAACAGAGTATATGTCCGCTCACTGTCAGTTCCTGGCTCTACCTACAAGTGTGACCTAACGTTCCCTACTGCCTCCACCTGCCTTGGGTTGCCTATTTGTGACTTGTCAGTCTAGCCTGAGCTCAGTAGTTCTAATCCACAGTCCCTACTCACCAATAGGACACTCTGTTTCTCTGCTAAGAAGTGTGCATTGCGCCTTTCCCCCACTCTCTCTGACCACCAGAGTTTTGGCAATAATGCTACTGTGATTTTTCATTAATTTTCTTGGTTGTTTTGTAGTTATCGTAACAGTAAAATTTATACTCAATAATATTATTACAATTTTCCTCTACTAATGGGATTATTATTTTTGTTCATTTGTGTTTGAAAGCCATTAGCATAAGATTTACCGCCAACAATATCTACTGTGATTTTTAATGCCCTTGAAACTTGCAAGTGAGCGATAAGTCTATAATAAGACAATGCTAGTAAGCATATAAATGTCTTTCTTGGGAAAAGAGGGCTTTTTTTTTTTTTTTTTTTCATCCTGGTTGGACTCAGGTTCTTTGATAGAGAGATTGGTAGGATATAAGGCATTAAAGGCTGAGAACACTGGGTTAGTTTGTAGATGTATTCAAACAAGTTCCCAGTTATTCAGAGGACACTTTTATATTCTAGGAGGATTCATATTCTTGCTGCTTTTTATGTTGCTCCTTACCTGACAGAAAAACATAATAAATTATGTGTGTGCAGGGAACAATATTGAAAACTCTGAAATGTTTGGAAAAGAAGGGATCTGGAAATCACGCTATCCGACTGACTTTCCAAGGGGCTGGGGGCTTGCTGCACTCATAGTGGAGCCCTGGAAACAGGGTGAAAGGAGTTTCTCTGTGGGGCAGCTGTGGGGGGCAGGGAAGTGGACGCCAGGGCTGGTTTCAAGGGTGTGTGCCCAGCAGCCTCCCAGGGCCCCATGCTGTGAAATTCACAGCATCACCACCTTAGAATTCTTAAGTCTTGAATAAGGACCCCACTTTGCACGAGGCCCTGCAAATGATATATGTGGGACTGTGTACAAGCGTTGGAGCGAGGCAGATTTGGGTTCCAGTTCTAGTATTCTCTAGCTATTGACCGTGCCTCAGCTTCCTTATCTGTAAAACAGGGCTGATGCTATTGTCTTCTCAGACTAGACGTGAGAGCTAAAAGTAGATATCCAGCACCAGGGGGCCTGCAAGGTGGTGACACACCCTCAGATATGCTCACTGGAATTTTAACTCCCATGTGCAGGCCTCATCATTAAACTTATTATTATGACTTAATGTTGGGAATACTAGCCAGCTGGGATAGGCAGACTGTGGCACAGAAGCTAATCCCATGTGTCCTGGTTAGGAACACGCCAAGCAAAGAATGTTTCCCTAAGGGGGACACTCTAAGGCTGGGGGTCCCATCCATCAGCTTCCAACCTTTGTGCTGCTATAACACATGATAAATAATGTTTTTTGGCATAACCGGTCCCAGTTTCTCATGACTCATATACATGTTTTTCTTCTCCCCAGAAATCTCTCAAGAAAGACAATGAAGGAGACTGGCATTATTATGAAGATGCCCTTGACCTTGATCTAATGCATTTGCAAACTTTAGTAGTTCAACTATTATTTGTAACAAATGTTGTTTTTTAATTTTTTTTACCACACCACACAACGGGACTCGATAAGCCAGTGTACCACCGAGGAACGTGGACCCTCGTGGTCCCAAACAAAGGATCCCACCCCCCCCCATGACAGGCTGGACAGACCAGGACCAAGCTGGAGCCTTCCATGGCTTGGCAGATGTTGCACTGTGCTCTAGCCTGAATGCGTGATGCCAGCCATGAGGCATGGCGGTGGGGTCCGAGAAACACTGACTAGTTGGTTGGATACCCTTGTGATGAATAGCGTGCAATCTTAAAACATCTGGTTAGGGGCGGCTGGGTGGCTCAGTCGTTAAGCGCCTGCCTTCAGCTCAGGTCATGATCCCAGGATCCTGGGATCGAGCCCCACATCGGGTTCCCTGCTCGGCAGGAAGCCTGCTTCTCCCTCTCCCACTCCCCCTGCTTGTGTTCCCTCTCTCACTGTGTCTCTCTCTGTCAAATAAATAAATAAAATCTTAAAAAAAAACAAAACAAAAAAACACATCTGTTTAAACATTTCCCCCCCAAGAATGTAGAAAAGGCTTTAAATCAAATTAATTAGAAACATAAGCATTTTTGGACTCTGGTCCAAAAGGATTCCTCAGGGGATTATAGGAGGCGTCAGGGTGACTTTTGTTGCCTTCAGTTTAAGATTTGTGGGCAGCCCGGAGTCCCGATGGGAGACTTCAAAGGGAAGCACTGGGGGCCTCAGCTGTGCTTGCCCTCCCATGCTGCTCAGGCTTCTGGGCACATACACATCATGACACGTGGGCCTCCTGTAGTCTCAGATGTGGGACAGCCTCGCAGTGACCTGTGGTGTGAAATGACCACAGCCCAAGCGTGGTTTGCTCCTTCCTAACTCCCTCCTGAGCACTTGGGGGCAGTGAGCCCCAACTGCCCACTGAGCTCTCTCAGGCCTGAAGGGCTTCCGTGGGTGACGATGGCCAAAGCTGGCCTGTCACCTCTCCACAGTGCAGCAGTGGATGGCCACAGAAAAGCTGCAACTCTTCTTCCCAGATCCCTCGTTGGCCTCTTTCTAGTGCTTTGGATGAGGGACAATAGAGCACTGTCAGTCAAACAAGTCAGAAAGAACGACGGGCGATTTCGTCCTCATCTCTCCATGGGATGAGTGGGACCTAGATGGTGGCACAGCTCCTGGGCCCACGTAACACGGTACGTACGTGGTGCGTAGAAGATGCTTCAGTCTGTAACTATTATGACTAATGACCAACGAGTTTGTCAAACGCCTCAAGGCACGGTCACAAAAAGCAAGTGCTGATAAACAGTTTATTTTCATGGTGATTCTGAAATGGTGATTTCGGTTTGGATGACTTCAGTGTCACTCCCCTGACCCTCTCTCAAGGATCATAGCAAGAAAACTGAAAGCCACTGCATCGACTCTCAGGAGACCAGAGACACGGCATCCCACCCAGGAGGCCACAGCAGCGGCCTTTAGCAAAAACTGGAGAAAACGCAAATCCGGTCAGGGAAAATCTGAGACAAGAGGGACCTGTGTGTCTCTGTCCTCAACTTGACTTAACCCCCCCCCCCCCCCCCCCCGCAAACTCAGCAAATAGATTTTGCTTCCTAGGGCACCGATCTTCCAGCACATCGTACTATAAACTTCAAGGCCCCAGAAAAGAAATCTAAGGGATGCTTTGACTCTGTTCCTGGTGTTTGGTCATTCTGTGATTGTTTTTCTTACCTGTTGCCGAATTTCTTCCTCCATTTTCACGGGTGAGCCCAATTCTGCCACTTGTTTGACACCTTCGCTCGCATAGCCTCCGTACTCCCACAGCACGTAATTCTTGGAGTGGGATCCACCAATGATTGCAGACCAGTGATTGGCCCGACCTGGGAAAGCCAATCAGGATGCAGGGATCAGTGCAGCTATGGCGAAAACGTGAGCCCCTTAAATGCTGGGAGGAAAGTGTAATTCGACAATCATTCAACTGTGCGGGTAAGCACCTACTCTGTGTTAGGCCCTGTGCTCTTCAGAGATGAATAAGACCATCTGTGGAAGCAAGAAGGTCTTGGGGATATGCAGACAGGACAACAACAGATCCTGAGCGAGACACAGAGGCAGCCCAGAATGATGACTTCTGTCTGGGAGGGTTTCAGAGAGGGGGACAACTTTGAGGCTTTGAAAGGCTGATCGGATTTGTAAGACAGAATGGAGAGGAGAGGCTATTTCTGGCAGACTCAGAAGCATTAAATAACATCGTGTGTTTGGGGGGCCATAAATAATTCAGTATTGCTGTGTCACCAACTGTCAGGGGAGAGGTAGGAAGCAATGCCAGAGAGGTAGGAAGGAGCCTGCTCATGGATGGCTCTGCTTTCAATGCTTCAGGAGTTCGCATGTCATTTGAAAGGGTCTGAAACCACTGAAGGGTCCTGAGCAGGGCAACGGCATGATCACATTTGAATTTTAGATAAACCATCCAGGCAGCAGTGTGAAGAATGCATTAGAGGGAGCAAAATGGGAGTGTAGAGCTGTGGTGGGAGAGCATGAGCAGGGAGCCAAGGGTAAAGGGAGTGAGTGGGGAGTAGGCTTGGGCAATTCTCAGAAATGAGCAGGGTTGACTTTGAGCTGGCTTTTCTGTGCCTTCCAGGATGAGGGGCAGGTGAGCTAGCCCTGCGAGAGGATGGGGCAGGCAGTCTGGATATGTGGAAGGCACTGGTCCACAGTGGTCCACTGAGGATCATGGGGGAGGGGGCCCATCGGGGTGCAGGAGGGAACCACTGGGTGACGTGTGGGAGAACAGAACAAGATCTGGACAGGACCAAGACAAAACTGACTGAGGGGTTTTCAAAGTGCCAGGGGGAGGAAGGAGAGGGACGGAGAGTCAACATCAGCACTGCACTGGGTTTGTTTCTGCATGTGATGAGTGTTGACGCACGCACATACTCACATACACACATACACACACATATAATACATATATTATAAATATATACATACACATATAATATACATATAATATATACACATGTATATACGCACATGTAATATATACATAAAATATACATATATAGCATATATATACACATGTATATATATTAATTACTGGTTAAGTAACATACAGTTCATCATAAGGCCAGTTCAGCTCTCAGCCATTCTTGGTTGGCTAATAATGCCCTGAGTTAAAGAACGTTTTCAGGCATAGTGAAGAGGAAAAGTGGAACTGGGTGGACACAAGGGACACATGTGACCTGGGGTGACAGAACTCCACTCCACCCACCACGTAAGAAGACCATTCTGAACGGGGCCTGATCCTGTTTGCATCAGCTCCCTGCTACCCTGGAGCCCTCTGCTGCAGGGGCACATCGAGAACTCAGGTGCCAAGCCCCGCTCCCGGACTGCTGAGGGCAGCCATGCCTCCCCGCCCCCGCCCCACGCAGGCAGATGACATCACTAGGTCCGCCTGCCCAATTGCTTGCTCATTATTTCCTCCACACCGGGGAAATGCAAACACTGTGTTCACCCATCAGTTCCCTAGAGAAGACAGATAGATATGTGGCCAGACTGTCCTAGCTGTCATCCAAGCCAGGAGCACTGCTTGTGGAGGGGCAAGGGCTGGGAGCCACTCGTGACCTTTGGTTCATGCTGTGAACCCAGGGAGACCAGCTTCAGCATTTCCTGTTCCCTCTGCCTTGTTCCACCGAAATGGCCCCTTTTCCCAGACCCATCCTACCTACAATTCTGTACCTCTGGGGCTTAGCACATGCTGTTCCCCTTGGCTCTCTTCCTGCTTGGCTTGGCCAACTCTCATCCCTCCTTCATGATTTACCCAGAAGTCCCCCAAGGTCCCCCTAGACTGACCTAAGTCTTGTCTCCTGTCTCCCCACAGCACAGATAACACGTATGATCACCGCGACAGGTCTGTTTCCCCACCAGACTGTCACGTCCCTGAGGAGACCTGTCTTCAGCACTGTGTCCCCAGTGCCCAGCACTGTGTCTGATGCACTGTGAGTGGTCAGTGCATGTTTTCAAAAGGATTTCATCCAAACAATCAAAAGGGAAGGTAGGTAGTATACGTGCTTGAAGCATTTGGGAGCAGGCTTGCACAGATTTGATTTAATGTGATTAAATTCAAGTCTCAGGTCAGCAGAGTTCCTGACACCTACTGGGCTAACACACTCAGCTCACCTGCATGCTGTTAAAAACAAACACCACCACCACCACCACCAAAGAAAGGCATTGGTCTTACAGCCTGCAGACAAGGATTCAAATGCTAGCACTGCCACTTTCTAGCTAGGTCAACTTGGTCAAATTCTAATTATTTCATTTCCCTGAGTCTCAGCTCCCACCTCTGTAATTCAAGGATGATAATGCCTATCTTACTGCCTATTATAAGAATTAAATTCCATTTTTAAAAGATGAGATAATATATGGGAAATCACTACTGCCACACAATAGACACTCAATAATTACAATTTCCTCCTTTCCTGGTTGTTAGGGAGGCTACAAAAATGAGTAAAACATGAAACTTGCCTTTTATTCAGTATAGGAGATAAGAAATCTATGTACTGTGGGATAAGAGAAGAGACTAGGAACGAGCACAATCATAGGGAGATGAGGGGATGGACCCAGATGGATCTTTCTGATTTATTCATTCGGCTTCCATTTACTGTTCCAAGCGCAGTGGCAGGTCCTGGCCACTGACGGGAATTGGATAGGTGCTTGTCCTGGAGGGACTCATGGTCTGGGGGGGGGGGGGGGGGGGACAGATGGCTCAGCAGATTACTTACAATCCAGCATGGGCAGGGATATTATAGAAACAAGAACACAGAGCAGAGGGGATGGAGCAGCTAACTGCAAAGTCCCCAAATCCAAAGAATCCAAGTCCAAAGGCATGAGTGCAGAGAAACAGGTGCCTCAAGAATGGGATCTGTCAGGGGCGCCTGGGTGGCTCAGTTGGTTAAGTGACTGCCTTCGGCTCAGGTCATGATTCTGGAGTCCCGGGATCGAGTCCCACATCGGGCTCCCTGCTCGGCAGGGGGTCTGCTTCCCCCTCTGACCCTTCCCCTCTCATGCTCTCTGTCTCCCATTCTCTCTCTCAGATAAATAAATAAAATCTTTAAAAAAAAAGAAAAAAAAGAATGGGATCTGTCTTTATGGTTTCTTACATTTGAATACAATGTCATTGTACCAGTCCAACTTTCTGATCAGTTTAGTTGTTAATTTCCTATACCGGTCTTGCAAATTACCACATTAATTCAAATTTCAACCCACTGAATGACATCAACCACATAATAGATATCTGACAGGTACTAGGCTAGGGGAAGGACCAGACTCTATCCTCCCTGGGGGGACGAGGCAGGAAACCATGGAAAACAATCTGCAACATTACAAAGGGTGATGACTTCAGGTGAGTGGCAGTCACTCGGGGGCAGAATGGTACAGGGAGTAGAGGCATTGGTGACCAAGAGCCAAAAGAACTGGACTCCAGGCCTCCCTGCATGACCATGAATCAGAGCCTCAGTTTACCTTTTAAAAATAGGGGTAATAATTACTAGTCGGACTATTGCTCAGAGTTGTGCAAATTAATTGGGCTAGTTTTGGAAAGAACTATGAAAACTATAAAGAACTGTACAATGCGAAATTCTCAGTATTATTATGGATGGAAAGCATAATGAGAATCCACAAGAGGAATCCAAATATGATGGAGGAGCAAGGAAACTTTCCCAGTGGAAGGAGGCTCCCATGAGAAGACTGGCAGGACAGGAGAAGCAGGAATTCCAGTGATGACATATATAAGAGGATTAAACACCTATTAGGTGTCAGGTATAATGCTTTCTGAGGGGTAACCCTCTCTACACCCTCATTCTCATTTTATAGATAAGAAAACTGAGACCCAGAGATGTGAAGGAAGCTGCCAAAGCTCACAGAGCTAGCAAGGGTCAAAACTAGGGTTCAAACCCAGGTCTGCCTGACCCCAGAGCACATGCTCTTTTCCCTACATTGCACTGAGAGGTCAAGAAGGAGAGGAGACTGTTTGATGGACTGGAGGGATAGAAGGCAAAAAGAGAAGATGGAAAAGAAAGTCAGGACTGGGTTGAGGAGAGTGCTGAGTGCCCACCATGAGAGGGGGGATATAGGATGGAAATTTCCTTCTGGGAAGAACCATACGATGATAGTTAACATGCATTGAGCCTTTAGTAAGTGCCAGGCACTGTGCCAAGGACTGACCTACATTATCACATTAAACACTCAGAAAAAGAACCTCCTCTGACACAGAGGCTATCAGAATTCCCATTTTTCACATGAGGAAACCCAGGCTCAGAGAGGTCAAGTGAGTTAACCCAAGATCACAGAGTCGATGAGTGAGGACACTGGGATTCAAGGTCAAATCTGTCTGGGGCCAGAGCTGTGCTCTCGACCACACTGCATCAGGCCACGCCCAGTGATGGGAAGGGAGAAGGCCCAGGGTGAGGAGACCCATCAACACTCCCTGTGTGAGTTGTGTAGGGTTTGACTTAGGGCAGCGGAGAGGGAAAGCAGAAACAGGATCAGAGGTATGAGCCAATAAGAGAGAAGATTGGACAGACTTCAGGAGGCAGTTTGGGGTAGTAGTTAAAGCTCTGGTGTTTGAATCAGACCATCGTGTATTCTAGGCTCAGTTCTGAAGCTCAGTTCTAGATTGGACAAGTCAGTAATCACTCTCAAACTCAGCTTCTTCATCTGGATATTGACATGACCAGTCTCTTGGTGTTGTTCTAAAGCTAAAGTCCATGAAGTCATGACTGGTGGCTGGAACACAAAGTGGGTCTAATAAATCTTAGCCAGTCAAATTAAATATGAAGAGGATGGATGGGGCAAATCCAGACAAGTTTCTGGAAGGCATGGGAAA